GCCTTTCAATTAGCCCCACATGTGATTATAGGCCAGGTTGACACAATGAACTAACTCATGGGTATTAGAATTGCCTGCAAAGAATGCTTAAAAGTGTAAGCCTCGCCCAGTGCTTTGAGTGCTTAGTATATTTGCATTTGAAAAGACTTGCCACTAGCACTGTTGACAGACTGAAGAAGAAAAAATGAGTTGTTTTGGCTTTTTAAATTTTGAAACAGCAGTTTGCACCTGAAGGTGGAAAAATCTGGAGCCATGATGGAATTCTCCTCTCTAGGACTGAACATTAAAGGGAGCCTGCAGGCAGCCTAAAAAACTTGCTAGCTGACCATCTAGATCCACTTGTTGAGTGGAAGTGGGAGAAACGCAGCAATACAGAGAAGAGTTGAGTCTGGCCACTGACACCCATAGACCTTTTTCATAGGGATCTGAGGAGGGACAAGAGTGGGACTGGCTGGTATGAAGTTTAACGAGTTGTGGGGAACCTCACATGCTATGGCATGACCTTCCCCAAGGGGTCTAAGGTTGTTGAGAATTTGTGAAGGGGCCCATGTTCAAGAGGCGAGGCAGCCAATGGGCACCCTGGTGAGGCTAAGCAAGGTGGTTCACGCTAACCAGAGCCCATCCAGATGAAGATAAGATTTTTGAGCCTGTGACTTACTGTATAAGGCTGCTCAGCATACAGTTTGAATCAATATGGTGAAAAGATGCAACCCTGACCACAACTTTGCTGATTCCCTTGTTCTATTCAAATGACTATCTCTTGGTCTATGTACAGATTCCCCATGAGCTCAATACCTTATATTCTTCAGAGTTAGTTTGTGATGATCCATACAGTTGAATGCCTTTGAATAGTCAACAAAGCACAAGTAAACATCTTTCTGGTATTCTCTGCTTTCTGTCCTTCATGACACACCCTCCTGGGGATCCAGCTTGAATTTCTGGCAGCTGTGCTACAGCAACCATTTCTTAATTATCTTCAACAAAAACTACCTGCATGGAATATTAATAATATTATTGGATGATTGCCACATTCAATTGGGTCCACTTTCTTTGGAATGGGCACAAAGATGGATCTCTTCCAGTTGGTTGGCCAGGGAGGTAGCTGGCTTCCAGATTTGCTGGCACAGAGGAGTGAATGCTTCCAGTGCTACATCAACTTGTTGAAACACTTCAGTTGGTATTCTGTCAAACGGAGCCTTGGTTTTCATGAATGCCTGCAGTGTAGCATGCAGTCTTCCTTCAGCACCATCAATTCTTGATCAAAGGCTACCTCCAACTCCTGCCCTCTTCTTTTGTTGCTTCCAGCCTCATTCAGGATTTTGCCCCCAGAATCCTTCAATAATCCAACTGAAATGTTTTCTGATTTTTTTCCTTCAGTTCTTTCTGCTGCAGATATAATGAGTGTGCTGTTTCTCTTTTGTTTTTTCCAATATCAGGTCTTTCTGTACGTTGCATTAGAATACTTTACTTTGTCTTCTTGATCTGCCCTTTGAAATGTTCCGTTCAGCTCTTTCACTTCATCACGTCTTCCATTTGTTGTAGCTCCCCTACAAGTTACAGGGCCGCGTTTGCCTTTCACTTCGGTCTTTCCTTTCTTTCCTGCCCTTTGAATGACCTTTCGTTTGCTTCGTGTGATATTCTTGCTGTCATGCCACAACTCATCTGGCCTTTGGTCATTAGCGTTCAGCTTCTGTGAGGGGGATGGAATAATATGGAAATCGATAGTGGTGACGGTAACACAATGTGAAGAATGTAATTAATATCACTGAATTAATTGTATATGTAAAAATGTGAACATGATAAATGGTTTCTGGGTATACTTCCTACGATACATTTTTTAAAAAGGATAGGAATACTTTCTCCTAGAATCTTGATTTCTATAGAAAATAGAAGCCTTCATTTTTCTTTTTTTTTTTTTTTTTAATTAATCAATTTATTGGGGCTCATACAATTTATCACAATACATAGATCAATTGTGTAAAGCACATCTATACATTTGTTGCCCTCATCATTCCCAAAATTCTCTTGCCTCCTGGGTTCCCGG